CTTCAATTATTTATTTATTTATTTATTTTGAGATGAGGTCTCGCTGCTTTACCCAGGCTAGTCTGGAACTCCTACGCTCAAGTAATCCTCTCACCCCAGCCTCCTGAGTAGATGGGGCTACAGGCACTTGCCAACATGTTGGAAACTTCTTCTACTTTTAATTGACACATAATACTTGTACATATTTTTGGGCTATAGAGTGATATTTTGATACCTTTATAAAATGAGGAATGATCAAATCAGGGTAATTAACCTATGCATCACCTCAAACATTTATCATTTCTTTGTGTTGTGAACATTCAAAATCCTCTCTTCAAGCTTTTTGAAAATATGCAATAAATTGTAGTTAACCATATTCACCCTACAGTGCTGCAGAACACCAGAACTCGTTCTATATGGTTGTAATTTTGTATCCATTAACCAATCTCTCCCCATCCTCCCTCCCCCCAACCTTTGCAGCTTCTAATACCCACAGTTCTGCTCTCTACTTCCATGAGGTCAAAAAAAATTTTTTTTTTTTTAGCTCCCACATGTAAGTGAGAACATATGGTATTTATCTTTCTGTACCTGACTTATTTTGCTTTATGTCATGTTGTCCAGGCTCATCCGTGTTGCCGTGAATGGCTGGATTTCAGTTTTTATTATGACTGAATAGTATTCCATTATGTGTATATACCACATTTTCTTTCCATTCATCTGTTGATGAACATTTAAGTTGATTCCATATGTTAGCTGTTATGAATAGTGCTGCAAAAAACATGGGGGAGGGTATGCAGTATCCCTTTGATACACTGATTTCTTTTCCTTTGGATAAATACCCAGTAGTGGGATTGCTGGATTGTATGGTAGTTCTATTTTTAGTTTTTTGAGAAATCTCCATACTGTTTTCCATAATGGCTGTACTAATTTACATTCCCACCAACAGTATGCTACCATTCCTGTTTCTCCATATCTTCGCCAGAATCTGTTATTTTTTGTCTTTTTAATATTAGCTAAGATTTTTTTCTTAAAATTTGGATGCCGGGATGTCCAGCATCAAGGGGGCATACCTGGTGAGAGCCTTCTTGCTGGTGGGGACTCTCCACAGTGTCCCGAGGTATAATGGGACATCACATGGCAAGGGTGCTGAGCGTGCTAGCTCAGTCTTTTTTTTATAAAACCACCAGTCTCACTCCTGTGATAATCCATTAATCCATGAATGGACTAATTCATGGATCATGGGCATAGCCCTCGTGATCCAATCACCTCTTAAAGGCCCCAACTTTGAATACTGCCATATTGGTGATTAAGTTTCACCATGAGTTTTGAAGGGGACAAACATTCACACCATAGCAGTGTTGTACATTATGTGGGTTTGGACAAATGTAAAATGACATGTAGCCATCATTAAAATAGCACAGAGTATTTTCACTACCCTAAAAATATGTGTTCTGCCTATTCATTCCTAATAACGGATGATCTATTCATACGTTTTAGTTTATTTGGGCTGCTATAACAAAAATACCATAATCTGGGTAGCCAGTAAGCAGTAACCATTTATTTCTGACTGTTCCGGAGGCTGGGAAGTTCAGGATCAAAGTGCCTGCAGATTCAGTATCTTCTGAGGGCCCACTACCTCATAGATAATGCTTCTAGCTGTGTCCTCACATGTTGGGAGGGATGAGAGGTTTCTTGGGCTGTTTTTATAAGGATGCTAACTCATTTATGAGAGTTTATGACCTAATCACCTCCCAGAGGCCTGACCTCCTAATATCACCTTGGAGACTAGGATTTGAACATACGAATTTTGGTGGGACACAGACATTCGATGTATAGCACCATAGTTTTGCCTTTCCCAGAATATCTTTTATTATATTGTGTGGAAACATACAGTATGAAGTCTTTTCAGATTACCTTCTTTCATTTATTAATAGAGATTTGAGTTCCCTGAATGTCTTTTCATAACTTGTAGCTCATTTCTTTTTTGCAAATATTTTTTTCCAAATCTGTGGCATGGCTTTTCATTTTCTTGATAGTGTCTTTCACATAGTAGAAAAGTTTAATTTTTATGAAATTTAGCTTATTCTTTCTTTCATGCATTGGGTCTTTTGTATTTATATCTTAAAAGTCATCACCAAACACAAGGTCATCTAGATACTCTTCCATGACATCATCTAGTAGTTTTATAGTTTTGCATATTACATTTATGTCTGTGATCCATTTTGAATTAAGCTTTTGAATGGTGTCAGGTCTGTGTCTATATTGATCTTTCTGCATGTGGATGTCCAGTGTTCTAGCACTATTTATTGACAAGATTGTCTTTTATCCATTGTGTTGCCTTTGCTCCTTTGGCAAAGATCAGTTGGCTATATTTGTGTGGGTCCATTTCTGGGCTTTCTGTTCTGTTCCACTGATCTGTTTATAATTTCACCAATACCACACTGTCTTGATTACTATACCTTTATAGTAAGCCTTGAAGTCAGTTATTGTTAGTCCTGTGCCTTTGTTCTTCTCCATCATTATTGTATTGGCTATTCTGGGTGTTTTGTCTCCCTGTTGAAACTACAGAACCACTTTGTCAAATCCACAAAATAATTTTCTGGGATTTTGGTTGGGAGTGCGTTGAATGTATAAATCAAGTTGGGAAGAACATGTATCTTGACAATATCGAGTCTTCCTATCCATAGACAAGGAGTGTCTCTCCATTTATTTAGTTCCTCTATGATTTCTTACATCAGAATTTCATAGTTTTCCTCACATGTCTTGCACATTTTTAAAAAATTTGTAGCCACATATCCATTTTTGGGAGTGCCAGTGTAAGTGGTGTTACGTTTTTAATTTCATGTTTCACTTGTTCATTGCTAGTATACAGGAAAGCAATTGACTTTTGCATGTACAAGCTTGCTATAATTGCTTATTAGTTCCAGTAGGGTTTTTTGTTGATGCTTTCAGATTTTC